CTGGACGAGGAGGGAGGAGGGCGAGCAGTGCGAGGATGCATGGGGCCCAAAGGCACGCAAACAAAACACACATCCCAAGATTCCAAATATTCTCCAAAATTCCTGGGTGTTCGTCATCCCCTCCACCTCCCGCATGTGCCATATTTTCCGGGGGATCGGCGATACTTAGCGTCTATGTTTCTCCCCGCCTGCATAATGATATAAAAAAACAGCACGCAAGTCTTTCGCCGGCTTAGGACTCTTTTTCTGCCGTCGCTGGGCCGCGGGACAATCAAGAAACGTTTCAAGATGATAAGTCGGGCCCAGGAGGGGGTCGAGACTTCCAGGGGGCCCGTTTTAAAATTTCAAGGCATCGCATCTCTGGGTGTGTGTGTGTGTGGGAGGAGCGAGAGAAGGATAATGGGAGGAGGGCGGGGAGGAGGCCGGGGGGGGGAGCAGGGCGTCGTCGTCGTCGTCGGTCTGCTCCTCCCTCCTCCCTCCACCTCCCTTCTGCGCCTCCTCCCTCCCCCTTCCTGCCCCCTCCCTCCTTCTACTCCTCCTCCTCCCCCTCACCCATCCCTTTCCTTATACAATTATCCCGGCAAAGCAACCTAACAGCGATGTGTATAAGCATATCTGGAAGCATTCCCCTTCAGATTCAGGTGAGAACCCAATTGTAGAATTCTGCTGTTCTCGCAGTCGCAGTCGCATTCGCAATGGCAGTCGCAGTGGCAACGGCCTTAGGATCCAATGGAATCCTAAGGACTCCAAGGGATTCCTGAGGCATCCTTAGGCATCCATAGGAATCCGGAGGAAACCTGATTCCTAGGGATTCCTAGGGATTCCTAAGGATTCCTATGGAATTCTAAGGATTCCGAAGGATTCGCCTGCCTCGGCCTCAGCCTCAGCCTCAGCCTGCCTCAGCCTCAGACTCAGCCTGCCTCAGCCTCAGCCTGCCTCAGCTTCACGACACCTCAGCCTCAGCCATCAGCCTGCCTCGGCTGCCTCGGCCTCAGCTCCAGGCTGGCCTCGGGCCTCAGCCTCAGCCTGCCTCAGCCTCAGCTGCATCACCCCAGCCCTCAAGCCTGCCTCAGCTCAGCCTGCCTCAGCTCAGCCACAGCATCAGCCTCAGCTTCAAAGCCTCCCCAGCCTCAGCCTGCCTCGGCTTGCCCAGCCTCGGCCTCAGCCTGCCTCGGCCTCAGCCTCCAAGCCTGCTCAGCCTCAGTCGTAGCCTCTCAGCCTCAGCCTCAGCCTCAGGCCTGCCTATCAGGTCTCAGAATGCCTCCCAGCCTCAGCTGGCCTCAGCCTTCAGCGTCAAGCCTGCCTCGGCCTCAGCCTGCGTCAGCTCAGGCCTCTAGCCTCAGCCTGCCTCAGCCTCAGCCTGTCTCAGCCTCAGCCTGCCTCAGCATCAGCCTCAGCCTCAGCCTCAGCCTGCCTCGGCTTGCATCGGCCTCAGCCTCAGCCTGCCTCGGCCTCAGCCTCAGCCTCAGCCTGCCTCAGCCTCAGCCTCAGCCTGCTTCAGCCTCAGCCTCAGTCTGCCTTCAGCCTCGGCCTCAGCCTCCGCCTGCCTCAGCCTCAGCCTGCATGAGCCTCAGCCTCAGCCTCAGCCTCAGCCTCAGCCTGCCTCAGCCTCAGTCAGCCTCTCAGCCTCAGCCTCAGCCTCAGCCTGCCTCAGAGTCTCAGCCTGCCTCAGCCTCAGCCTGCCTCAGCCTCAGCGTCAGCCTGCCTCGGCCTCAGCCTGCGTCAGCCTCAGCCTCAGCCTGCCTCAGCCTCAGCCTGCCTCAGCCTCAGCCTGCCTCGGCCTCAGCCTGCCTCAGCTCGGGCATTCAAAATATGGCACAAGATTGGTGTTCTGGGAACACGAAGAACACGAAGTGGCGTATAGTTGGTTCTGGGCATTTAAAATGTGGTCTGGGAATGGTGTTCTGGGAACACGAAGAACACGAAGTGGCCTACAGCTGGCTCCAAGCATTCAAAATGTGGCCTGGGAATGGTGGTGTTCTGGGAACACGAAGAACACGAAGTGGCCTGCAGTTGGCTCCGGGCATTCAGAATGCGGCCTGGGAGTGGTGTTCTGGAAACACGAAGAACACGAAGTGGCCTACGGTTGGCTCCGGGCATTCAAAATGTGGCCTGGGAATGGTGTTCTGGGAATGGATTCCTAAGGATTCCTAAAGATTCCTGGGGCTGCCGGATTTGTCCGCTTCCCGCATCCGGTTCCCGCCCAGACCCCCCTGGGGCGTCAAGATGCTCTCTTTTGACACCACTAGAAACCCATCAACAAAAACTGTTAGGTAAAAAACTCCTCCGTGTCCCACCCCGGACGCGTCGGTAGGGCGGGCCGGGCGCTTTGCCTGAGACTCTCACCATTTATGATCCCGAAGCTTTAACTTTGTAGTAATTTCACAGATGGAGTGCGGGTGGTTTTCACATGTAGCTCTCGCCTTAGCGCCGCGCGGACAGACAGACAGAGGAGCCAAACGTCGTCCAGCGCGTGGGCACAGGCACCGCGAGGACAAATTCGCCTGCCCAACGGGCCAATGGCGTGCTAAGATCTCCGGTAACTGGTCAACAATATTTCTAGTTCGCGCGCGCGCGGGGCCGCCCCTGGGGGTCCCCGGACGAAAAGTGCCCCCGCAGGTCCCAGCCAACCCCCGGCCAACCCCTGGCCAACCTCCGGCCGGGCCCCGGGCAGGTCTCAGCAGGTTCCCCAGAGCGCTCCAGGAGCGCTTCAAGCCTCCAAGAGAGCTCCACATGGTCCGAAACGGTCCAAGAGCGATCCAAGACGCCAAAGATTGCCTCCAGACAGCCCAAATCGCCTTCAAGACGCCCCAAGAGGCCTCCAAGAGACCTCCCAAGAGGGCCCACAGAGGCAGAAATTAGCGATTTCCCTTCAGTTTCCGACGGTCTTTGGCGTTCTCGCCTTTTCGGCTTACCGGCGCCCCAAGACGGCCCAAGAGGCTTCCAAGACCGCCCCAAGACGGCCCACGAAGCCTCCAAGAGGGCCCCAAGATGGCCCAGGATGGCCCCAAGACAACCCAAGATGCGCCCAAGACAGCCCAAGAGCCCCAAAACGGCCCCAATTGTGGCCCACGAAGGGGACCAGAAACCGAAAAGAGGCCCCCAAGAGGCCCTAAGAGGCCTGTTGGAGGCCCCCAGGGGCCTCCAAGAGGCCCCCAAAGAAGCCCCAAGAGGCCCCCAAGAGGCCCCAAGAGGCCCCAACACGGCCCCCAAGAGGCCTCAAGACTGCCTGCCAAAGGCTCCTGAGAGGCTGACCGCGAGAGCCCAACCAACATCCGTGAGGCCTCTGACCCGCCACCCACCGCCTCCGAAAAATGACAGCCGCCCAACCGCACCGCATTGACAACAACGCCCCGACAAACGACAGCGGCGAGGCAATATGGGCCGGCGGAATGAGCGAAGCGATTACGTAAATAACTCACGGGCGTAGCGCAGTACATTGCAGAGGCCAAGTTTAAAGCCATTCTCTGGCAACATCGAACGCACAATTCGCAACAAAACGGCGCCAGTTACGCTCATCGCCGATGCAACTTTGCATGGCGGCTTCAGAGACGAACCGCGCGGCCACTTTCTCGTGTAGATATTTCGCCCATTCGTGCCTGGGCCGACCCCTGGGTCTTCGCAGCCTCCCACTGGCGGGCCACAAACTGCCCGGCTCGAAAGTCAGCACGCGCAGCACGTCACCGACGTCGGCCCTGCCAACCTTCCCAAACCAGTGGCTGGTGTCGTGGGAGCTGAGAAGTGTAGCTGGGCTGCACGGCCTGCTCGAGCGCCTTAAAAGTCCGCAGCTGTTTGAAACATGGAGGGCGTTTCCTTTCCTAAATGTGGCTCCCGCCTCCGCGCCGCGCGCATTCGTCGTACAAACTTTCAGATGTCTCCAGGGTGGAGGGCGCGCCGTTTTCAGAATAAAGCTCTCGCCTTGGCGCCGCGCACATTTGTCGTAAAAGCTTAAGGAGGGCGGTTCCGTGGCTCTCGTCCTAACGCCGCGTGCATTCGTCCGAAATATTAGTGCAAGTGTTTAAAGAATTCGTATGGTGGAAGTCCCAGGAACGGCTTTCTGGCACGATTCACGATTGACAGAACGCAGCGGTCTCGTTGATTCGCGGCATTGCAGTCCCAGGAATGGTATTCTGGCACGCTTCAGGATTGTCAGGACGCAACAGCCGCGTTGATTCGCGGCGTGGGACCCATGAAAAGGTAATTTGAAGGGAGGCTTTACAGTCAGCGTCCTACCAGAAGGAACCAGAAGGAACACGCCCAATAGAAACGAATTGGCTTTTCTGGAAACGGCGAGCCTCGGATTCGAGTGGGTTCCCCGACCCCGATCTGAGGAACGGCCCGACAACCGCAGCCCCTCCCGAGCCCAAGGTGGTCCTTATTTCAGCGTCTTGCCTGTATTGTGACACCGACGATGCACATTGGGCTCAAACTGGCCAGCCTTCGCCCTCGCCTTGCCCCTCCTAGCGGGGCCAGCTGGTCGCGCGTGGCTGCTGGGCGTCGGGGCCCTCGTCGGCCTGGCGGGCGAAGGCGGGCCTCGTGCCAGGCAGGCGCATCCATCGTCGCCATCGTGCTCTTCGCGGAACTGTACGGCCAGACCTAGGACATACGAACATCTTCCAAGAACACGAGACTCTCCGCCTGCCAAAGAGAAGAACCTTCGAGGGTACCCTTCTCCAGGATGCACGAATACATCCAACAAACACGAACAACACTAGGGTACCCTCCCCGAGCCGCCCCCGATCTTATACCTCGGTCCGACCGTACGCTTATGTTGTTCCCATCCTACTTAAGGACCCCATCCCAGAAATAATTTCGAGCACCTGGAAAGGTGTCAAAAGAGAGTTGAAACAGTGTCGAAACAATGTCGGGCGAGTGTCTCCCAAGGCCCGACACGTGAAAACCCTTGAGTTCCGGTACTTTTTTCTGGCGCTCCAAATTCTTTCTGGTGATCAAGGCTAAAGTAGTTTGGAGCATTATAGCCGTGCGCGGTGTTCGTCGGCCTCGCCATTTCTTTTCGACACCAGCGCCGCGCTCATCGTGATGCCCATGGCGCTGGACGTCCTCGTCTTCTTCCTTGCGGGCCCCGCGACGCGCGCGAAGCGCGCGCCGCTCCTGGGCTTCGCAGTCTCGGCCCCGCGCCGCGACCGTATCCTCAGCGAATCCTCCTCCGCCTCTGCCCTCCTGCTCCTCCAGCGCGCGCGGGAGCGCGGGGGGGGGGGGAAGACGGGGGAGGGGTAGGAGGATGGAGAAGAGGAGCTGCGGGAGGACGAGGAAGACGAGGCGTCATGACGTCATCGTCGTCGACGTCGCGACCTCTGGCTGGGGGGTGGAAAATCGTCCCCGCGACCTGTGACGGTGGCGAATAAGAAGCCTCGCAGAGTCCCCAACAAGATCGAGCAAAACCCAAAAAGCCTTGGAATGGCGCCGCGACGACGTCGACGGCAGCGACGTCGTCGGGGACGCTCTAATCCGCCGACCCCTTGTGGGTCTCTAGGCGTGTGAAATAGTTTCCCCCCCTGACCCCCTCCATGGGGCCCCAAACCGACGATTCGACCCCCTCCCCCGGGCCTGGCCCGAGCGAGCCACGGGCTCTTTTGGACCCAAACCGGCGATTTGACCCCCCCTCCCCCTGGCCAGGGGGCCCTGGGGGGGCCAATTGACAGTAGGCCCCACTGTCAACCACCCGGACTGCGCTCGCCCAGGTCCCTGGGGGGTTGGCCGATGCGACAGTGGGCCCCGCTGTCAGACAGGTTCCAGGGGGGTCCCCCCGGGAGGGGGGCCTCCGGGCCATTTGACAGTGGGCCCCACTGTCAAACAGGTTCCAGGGGTCCCCCCAGGGGGGGGCGCCTGGGGGCCATTTGAAAATGGGCCCCATTGTCAAGCAGGCTCCAAAAGGGGACCCGGGGGGGGCTGGGGGGGGGGGGGCACTGTCAAACAAGTCCCAAGGGGGGAGTGGGGGCCATTTGACAATGGGGCCCACTGTCAAACAAGTACCAGGGGCCATTTCACAATGGGACCCACTGTCAAACGGTGACCTGGGAACCATTTGACATTGGGGGCCACTGTCAAACGGAGGCCCGGGGGCCATTTGACAGTGGGGCCCACTGTCAAACGGAGACCTGGGGGCCATTTGACAGCGGGGGCCACTGTCAAACGGAGAACTGGCGGCCATTTGACAGTGGCCCTCTTCGGCCCTCCTGCTCCCTGTGCCTGAGCCGGAACGGAATGCCTCCGCCGCGGCTTATCCAAAAGTTGTGGCAACCAGCGCCACTGAAAAAAGGGGTCGGCGGATGTGGCGTTAGCCTGTAGAATCATGCAACCCTGAGACAGCCCAAGAGGACCCCAAGAGAACCCCAAGGCGGCCGCGAGAGGCCCCCAAGACGGCCTCCGAAGGGGCGGAGCGGTGGAAAAACGCCCCAAGACGGCCCAAGATGCCCCCAAGAGGCCCCGAGAGGCCCCCCAAGAGGCCCCCAAGGAACTCCCAAACAAAAAACCTAGAGGCCTCCAAGAAATCCCCAAGAAGCCTCCAAGAGGCCTCAAAGAAGCCCCCACAAGGCCACACAACGACTGGAGCGTAATGTTATTTCCCCCCCTGGGCGAACGACGGCGCAGCGCCAGCCAGGTGAAGTTGGTCACGGCGGCGCGCATGATTAGAGCCGGCGCTGGAAGGGAAGATGGGGAGGGAGTATGAAAAGGAAGGGGGGGAGAGGCCCCAAAGAAGCCCCCAAGAGGCCCAAAGAAGCTCCCAAGAGGCCTCCAGGAGGCCCCCAGGAGGCTCCCAAGAGGCCCCGCGACGACGTGACTGTACGTGCTGTGGACGTGCACCCCGCGAAGCGAGAGGAATCATGTCAACATACCCTGGCAGGCCGCATAATGAGCTCTCACACCGGGGTCGGCGGAGGGAAGGGAGGGGGGGGCCAGCCACACGTAGCCTCCAAGATGGGATTGGCCGATCACTGTTGGCGCCAACCCCTCTTATGTGTGCCACGACGGCGACGGCGACGGCAACAGCCACAGCAAGCAGCAAAGGCAACGGCGACCGAAATCCAATCAAAATCGGCCCCAAAACCCGTCCACGGGGTCCACAAATCCCTCTTCCTGGAACGATTTGTGACGGCCCCTGGGGCTTGAAACGGGCCACCTGACCCCAAAAAAGCACCGATGTCTTCTCTAGTCTTCGGAGGTCTCCGAGGCACGAAAAAATCAGAAACAATCAACAGCCTCTACCATGATTCCTCCTCAATCATCGAACTCGAGAAACTACCTCGACAACGATTCCTTCGAACATGAAGCGGCGGCGGCGACGACGGTCTCCGGGGCCGCCTCGAGTGGGGCGTCCTCCAAGGACGCCTCCAGGGCGCGGGCCAGCTCCATCTCCGCTGTCGCCTGCGCTCTCCTCTGGGTCCTCCTTGCCGTTGCTTCAAGAGGGAGCGATAGACGGGGGGGGTGAAGAAGCGTGTACGTTTCGTGCTCCTTTTGGGCCCCAGAGGGGCACTGGGCCTCTAGGGTGCACGAGTGGGGCACCTTCTTTTACTCCCCCCATCTATCGCCACCCCCCATTACTCAACGCTCGAGATGTGTTCAATATGGGGTCCCCCAGAAGTCCCGACCCTTCACCCTGAGTAGATTTTTGACAGTCTCGGCTCCCAGCAACGGCCCACTGATGCCGAAAACGACAAAAACCCTCCGCCTTGATTCTTCAAGACGTAGATTTTTTCTATAGTGCTCGCCCCCTCAACACTTGCGCCACGCCGGACGGCTCCTCCTGCGGCTGAGGACGCTGCTCGCCCAGCTTATTGTGGAGCACTGCTCCATTCGTGTCGGTTGTGGCGAGCAGCTGAGGCCCTCGTCCTCCTCCAGTTCCTCCTCCTCCTCGCCCTCATCCTCCAGCTTCTCCCCCAACTCCTCCTGACGCTGCTCCCACCTAACTATATACCCATCTTCCTTCATCACCCTCTCATTCCCCACGTCCCAGGAAAGCGGGGGACATCCTCTTCCAGATCCTCCTCCTGCCCGTCCTCCGCCTGAGCTGAGGCTTCGGACCCCAAGCTCGAGGCGGCGCCGCGTCGCTGAGTGCAGCTCGCCCCTTTCTACCAACAACAAGTTCGAAGACGTTTCTCCTCCTCCTCCTCCTCCTCCTTCTCCTCCTCCTCCTGCTCCTGCTCCTTACTCGTGTTCCTGCTCCTCGTCCTCCTCCGTCTCTTCAACCTCCTCCGTCGTCCTCGTCCTCCACCTCCTCTTGTCCCTCCTCGCCGTCCAACTTGCCCTCCACCGCCGGAACAGCCCACCGCGGTGTCGCCCCTGGAGCGAATGAAATCCAATGCGGCGGGGAGGCCCCCGAACGCACCAGATTACTGCCAGCGGCGCAGCGACGCAGGGGCCCGCTTCGGGAGCAGCCATACGGGGGGGGCGAGAGCGCCACCCGCCTGGGCAGGGCGAGGCGCCGAGCGGCTGCAGAGCTGAGGACAACGCGCGCCCGAGTCTGGCCGCCACGCGTGCACAAGGCGCCACGGTGGAGAACCTGCCGACCGAATCAACGACGGTGGGCAACCCCGATATCCTGGCGTCTCAACCTTTTCGAGCCCTGGCTCGAATAACTGCGCAGAAAGATAGGGTCTGGGGATCTGGTCGTCATATTTCGCGATGTTGTAATTCGTGTAGCACGTTCCGAACGCCCGAACGATCACGATGAAGTCGGACGCGCGCATCCGCCTCCTCCTTCAGCCACTCCTCCTCAAGCTGAAACTTGAGTCCTGGGGGCAGGCAGGTCGTCCAGACGTGCCCCCCCCCCCGACACCCAGCGGTTCCTCCTCCTTCTGCTCCTCCTGCTCCTCCTCGTCCTCCTCCTCCTCCTCCTCCTCGTCCTCGCCCTCCTCCTCCTCCTCCTCCTCCTCCTCCTCCTCGTCCTCTTCGTCCTCGTCCTCCTCGTCCTCGTCCTCCTCGTCTTCCTCCTCCTCGCCCTCCTCGTCCTCCTCTCCTCCTCGCTCCTCCTCGTCCTCCTCCTCTCCTCCTCTCCTCCTCGTCCTCCTCGCCCTCCTCCTCCTCCTCCTCCTCCTCGTCGTCGTCGTCTCCTCCTCCTCCTCCTCCTCCTCGTCCTCCTCGTCCTCCTCGTCCTCCTCCTCCTCCTCCGCGTCCTCCTCTTCTTCCCTCTCCCCCCTCCATCTCCTGGGCCCGCCGCTCCCCCCCCCCCCTGAAGCTCACTTCTGCCCCCCTGTGATCCTGTGACGCTCCAGCTCGAAGGATCCCTCTTCCTTACTATACCTCCGACGTAGTTTTTCTCTGTAACGTGGCCACCGGTGTTTTCATCCCAAATCGCTCTTTGACTGCCCCCCTGGCACGGCAAAGGCCCCCGGAAGCTGAGCCTCACAAGAAACATCTTCCGCCAATGCCAGGAAACTGGGGCCTCTCAAAGAATCCTCGACTCCCCTGGGCAGATGATTTGCACGCCCCGCGCAAGTTCGGAACAAATGCGCACGATGCCGATGCCCAACGTCAGGTGTTGTCCGGAACCGACAGCGGGCGTTGTTGGGCAAACAACCTATGGTTTCAGATGGGCAACGCCCGCGGCGGCGCCGACAACGAGACCCAATCAAAACGGGCAGGACAAATGTTCGGTCTTCGTCCCGCCGTGCTTCCGTACCTATCCCGAATGCGCCGACGGCGGAGGAGGAAACTCGCGGAGGACGAAGGAAGCAAATGGCAATTGCGGTATGGGGCCCTCTGGGCCTCGTGAGAAATGCTGCGGAGGCCACTGTCCTGGCCTGCTTTGGTCCAGTGCGCTGGCGCCGCTAGCTCCGGGAGGCCGGAGGAGGAGAGGGAACAAGAACGAGGGAGGAGGGAGGGGCGGGAAGATGGAGGAGGGAGGGGGGAGGAGGCGAATGGGAGCGGAGTGGGGGGAGGGGGAGGAGGAGGAAGGAGGAGGGAGGAAGGATAAAAGGGGGAGGAAGAGGGAGGACGGAGGAGGAAGGAGGAGGGAGGAGGAAGGAGGAGGAGAAAACGGGAGCAGGAGGGAGGAGGAGGAGGAGAAGGGGGGAGGAGGAAGGAGGAGGGAGGGGGGGAGGAGGAGGATCATATTCATCAGGTGGATCAGAAGATACGTCGACGACGCCATGCATCCCGCGAGACGAGAGGGGGGGGGCGGTCCCCCCCGAGCCTGCGCAGCAGGACGCGCCCAAAGGCGTTCCCTAGGAACCGCCGCATCCCCCCCGAACGCAAGGGGAGGCCGTTCTCCACGTGGGCTCTGGGGAGAAACCGCCCCCCTAGATCCTCGGAGGTAACTCAAGACATCCCGCCCTCCGTGCCGGAGATGCCCCCGTCCTTGAACAATGTAACTCTCGGGATCCACCCGACGACGACGCCGTCGCCGCACAGGCATTGCAATGCTCGCGAGAGCGCTCAAAGCCGTGCTGGTCACCTCCTTGAATTATGCCTGGCCGTCTCCGCCATGACGGCCTTGCCGAAGAGCACCGCTTCACGGCCGCGGTCGCCTTCCACTGGCGGGTCGCGAATATCAAGGCGACTTCGCTGAAGAGCCCTCGCTTCCCAGCCCTGGTCGCCTTCGCCGTGGCGGCTGCGCCGAAATACCCCGCGCCCCGGCCCTGGTCGCCATGGGTTCCGCCGCCATCCTGGCTTGGCCGTGCTGCGCCCTTTTCAAGCGCGCGCGGCCCACCCGCTCGAAGGGGAAGGGGCCAGGGAGGAGGAGGGAGGGGGAGGAGGAGGGAAGGGGGAGGAGGGAGACGAGGGGGGAAGCGGACGAGGGGCGGGGCGCAGACCATCGCGCCACCACCAAGGGGCAAACCCCGACGTGGTGGTCCAGAGCTCAGTCACTAGCAAGCACCAGGGGCGGCGTGGGCGGAGGTCTGCCTCCCCGCGTGTCGGGCAGTTTCGCCCTCCAGCCGCGACTGCGCGCCGTAGCAACCCGCGCATGCGGCGGGGGAGGGGGGGGGAAGGGCGACGACGACGGAAACAGGTCAACCAAAGACACTGAACAACTCAATCAGAACATCCTGATCCATCATCGGGCACAGGGGCGGCGGCAGCATCCAGCTGCCTCCGGGGCGAAGCGGCGCGGCTACCTTCGCCGCGCGCAGCCCCGTCGGAGCAGGGCCCGCAGGGCCCCGGACCCAGTTCAGAGGGGGATATTTCCGCGCCCGTGCGAGGGCGCCGACCTCGGTCCAGCCATCGAAACACTTGCTACATGCTTCTGATTCGCCCTCGTGGGCAGGTTAGAAGACGCGCCGCGACAGTGGCCAGGCAGCTTCGCACAATTCCCCATATCTCATGGGCCCCGCGCCAACCGAAATCGCCACCGACGCGAAAAGCGCCATGGCGCAGGGCGGCAAAAGCAGGACAATCCCCGAGCGCATCGGCCTCGGGGACAGGGGGGCTGGGGGCCTCGTGGGACACAACAGGGTCGAACTGGGAGGCAAAATCAACGGCGACCTCGGCGGCGTAACTCTGCGTCAACTGAATCGAACCACCGCCGCACAACAAACCGCGCTGATCGCGCCTTCACTCGCGACAACTTAGAGCGATGAGCCTGGTGGCCGGCGAGGCGCAATGTGAGGGGGGCGAGAGGCCTGGCGAGAGACATAGAATATCTTCCTCGCCAGTCCACCTGCGAGACTGCGGCTATCTCTGAGCTACCCAGCCTAGAAACTCGATGGTGCTCTTATGCTACCTGAACTCTCCTGCCAAGACCTCGCAATATCCCTCAAGCACGGAGTGGGGTGCCGAACCGATATGCGAAAAGAAATCAGCCCGAACTTTGCCCGCTCATTCTTTCACGCGAAACGCCGCGCTCGATGGCGCCATTGCGCTCAGCGCGGGCAGGGGGCCAACGACTTCAGTCTTTCCTCTGAGAACCGGGGTAAGATGACAAAGGAATTAAGGTCTCGTGTTGACTCTGCTCAGTAGTAGAGGATGCGAGAAGAGACCTCGATGAAAGTACATGTAACCGTTGAGCAATTGCACTCAGGAGTAGTAAGTGAGGAGGCCGGCAGGCCGACGACGCGACTACGACGAGGGAGCGACCCCTCGGCGCGCGCTTGCGAGCCGGCACGCTCCTTTTATCTCCTGTAAGCACAAACAGCTGCGGCGCGCAGCCGCAGTGTCAGGGCGCGGCAAGGAAGGCAGCGAGAGAGGCAAATGTAAGAAGAGGCGGAGAGGGGCATATTTACCCCCCCCGCGGCGGGCTTCGCAGGGCCCATCCAGCCGCAGCCTCCCTGGCCCGCACATATTATACAACCACCGGAGCGAACCGCAACAAATTGCACCGCTCAGCGGTGGCTGCCAGGGAGCTGAGGGCCGAATGAACCCGACGATTCCCACCACTAGATAAAACAATTCTCTCCCCCGATACGACTTTGTCGATCGGGGGAGCCCGC